TCATATCCCTTTGATTAAATAAAATTATTTTAAAAAATAAATAAATAAAAGATAAAGAGGACTAAGGGGTTGTTTCTTGTTTACTTGATCCACACAGAATGACTCACTGGGTTTTGAAATGTAAGGGTAAAATGGTCATTTAGTTAAATTTATTTTTTGGAACGTAAGTGTAAAATGGTCATTTAGTTAAATTTATTGGGTAAAATGGTCATTTAGTTAAATTTATTTTTTGCAACGTAAGGGTAAAATAGTCATTTAGTTAAAATTGATGAATATAGTTAAAATGGTCTTTTGGAATGTAACGGTAAAATGGTCATTTAGTTTTTTGGAACGTAAGGGTAAAAATGGTCATTTAGTTAAATTTATTTTTTGCAACGTAAGGGTAAAATAGTCATTTAGTTAAAACTGATGAATATAGTTAAAATGGTCTTTTGGAATGTAAGGATAAAATGGTCATTTAGTTAAAATTGATGAATATGGTTAAATTTATTTTTTGAAACGTAAGGGTAAAATGGTCATTTAGTTAAATTTATTTTTTGCAACGTAAGGGTAAAATAGTCATTTAGTTAAAATTGACGAATATAGTTAAATTTATATTTTGGAATGTCAGGGTAAAAATGGTCATTTAGTTAAAACTGATGAATATAGTTAAATTTGTCTTTTTGGAATGTAAGGGTAAAATAGTCATTATTAGTGAGGAGAAATAGAAACCTCTGGGAGTGAGATTATGAAATCATGAGCATTGGCGGCTTTGGCGGCTGCGATGACATCATCTCTTGACACGTTTTCATCCGGAAGGCCATACGCGATGTTTTCTCCAACAGAAACCGAGAAAAGAACAGGTTCCTATTATAAATTCTGTTTTTTATTAAAATAAAAAATTAAAAATAAATGAATGTGAATTATTAGAAATTGAAGAGCATATACTTGATTGACTATGGAGACTACGCGGGCCCATTCACTTTTATCAAATGTTCTTAAATCTTCTCCTCCAACTGATATCCTGCCTTGAGTTGGCTAAAAAAATAGATTTGGTGATTAATTTATTAAAAAAAAAAATAATAACTATTAAAATCATAGAGGCAAATTTAAAGATAAAAAAAAAACTTGTGGTTTCACCAATTTGTTTTTTATTTTTCTAAAAAAAAACCAACATTTTAAGTTCAGTTTGTTCTTTCTAATTATAAAAACCAAACTGAAATACACAAAAAATCATTTTATGTATACGTTTAATTAATTAACTATGTTAATATTTATAATATTTAACATGTTTTCCACTGATTTTTTTTAAATGAACATTTAGGTCATCTTGTATTATTTTTTGATAAATTACTTTTTTTGTTTATAAAAGAAAACACAACATAAGTAAAACAAAAAACAAACATAATCGGTTTTTCAAAATAAGAAACTGAATCAATGTTTATAAAAAAACAAATTTATTTTTTGCCTGAAAAATACCTTGTATTTTTTTAATTTTTTCCAATCTGGCCCTTTTAGTCATTAATTGAAAATGTGAGGGTTTTTCCAAGAAAAACTAAAAAAGTTGAGGGTTTATTTGGAAACATTTAGAAGGTTGACGTTTTTTTTCGGAAAAAAAAAATACAAAGTTGAGGGCTTTTTCAGAAGAAATGAAAAAATACAAGGTATTTTCCAGGTAAAAAATAAATCTGAGGTTTAATCCGGAAAAACACAAAATATAAAACCTTTTTTGAGATTAACCCTTTTTTTAACAGACAAAAAAGTATAATTATTAATCCAATATGTTGTGCTTTTCTGTACTTTTTAACTGGTTAAACCAATAAAATAATAAAAAACACTTTGTGCTTTTCTGTATTTTATTCTAAATATAATAAACTTACCTCATAAAACCTTGCCAAAAGCTGTACAATAGTACTCTTTCCAGCTCCACTGGACCCCACTAAAGCAGTAACACTTCCACATTTTAAATTCAAATCAAGCCCATTAAGTACTTCCACATCAGGCCTCAATGGATACGAAAAATGCACATCTAAACATTTAAAAAAAAAAAAAAAAAAATCAATTATAGAAAAAAAAGTAAGTTAAATTATTTTTTTTCATACCTTCAAGACATATATCACCAGATTGTGCAAGAACACGAACACTGTTTCCTGATGTTAATGATGACATGTACCTTGTGTTTTGAGATCCCCTTTTATTATCATTTATGAAAAACATATTATTTATTCCCTCTTTTTCTTGTTTAATGTCTTTCTGTAAACCATAAGCTAAGGCTTGATCGATTTCTGAGGTAGATAAGATAGAATTGATTCTTTCTGTAGCTGCAAAAGCTCCCCTTAAATCCCCAATTGTGTTCACCAATCCTTGAACCTAATAATAGCAACCTACTTTTAACTACCAGTGGGACCCACACCCATAATTAAATAGGAAAGAAAGAAAGTATGAGTCTTGTTATGCTCACAGCAAATGTTAATGTGAAAGTGTATCCAATGAAAGAGGCCACAGTTCCCACTGACATCTCACCCTTGAAAAAGGAAAGAATTTGGTATTTAAATTTTTAAAAAAATAATAATAAATGAAGTTGTTTATTTGATAAATAATGTAGTAACATACCGCTTTCACTTTGTTTCCTCCAAGAATATACAAAGCCATTAAAGATACATACACTGCAACTCTAGTTATTGATTCATTGATAGATTTAAACACTCCAAGCTTGATGCCACTTCTTTGATAAGAAAGAACCTGTAATATAATAAAGATCAAGAGAAGGGTATTTACGTCTTTTGCACCAACAAGAGAACAAGATCAAGTCATTAAATGGGGCCCATGTATCTAATTCTAACCTGGTTGCCAAACATTGACATTTGACGTTTTTCTCCTCCGAATGACCTTACCTACATGCACGAACAAATAATGTTAATTTGAGATTGAAGTTTACCTTTTTGGGTCTTAATGATATATGACAATTAGCAAACTTTATGTCATAGAGGGGTAAAATTGTAAAAAGGAATATGAGTTGAGAACTCACCGTACGGATGGCAGAAAAAGTTTCAGTGATACAATCAGCTATTGAAGCTTGAGTCAACCCATAGGCTTTAAATACTTTCACAGTTGATCGTTTGTATACAGCTGGATACATATACATACACATGTATATATATTAGTCAACAAGTAAAAATATGAAGAAAAGTTAAAAACATTACAGGTTCTAGAAATTAAGGGTGGATTAGGGTTCTTACAACCTAAAATGATATCTTCATCACAATTCCATCATGAACAAAAAAAAAAACATAAAATTTCTTATTGAAAGTTTAGGTAAAGAAGAGCCTAATAATAACTTACCAACTAAAGTAGATACAGCAAGCATAAGTACACCCAGAATTGGTGCAAGTTGAGGGGCAAGAACAAACAGTAAGCACATTGTCCCAACAACCTGAGAAGATGATGATAGTTATACAAAGTAATGAGAACATATTATCAAGATTCTTTTCTAAAGTATAGCATACATGACACAACATTCTCAATTGATGTGCATAATCATAATCAATGTGAAATCTTTTACCTTTTTCGCACTAAAACGTGTGTGATTTTCCACCAGGTGTAATGGATTTATTAATTGTTGCTCATAAATAAAAGCTTGTTTTGTTTTCCTTTTTTCTATAAAAAGTCTCACTTTTCTCATTGAGAAAGAAGGATAGAAATAAGCATAAGCTCACTTTTGTTTAGTGTAGAGTAGCTTGCCTCAGTTAGTGCCCTGAAACCTCGATCTCTTGATATGTTCTCACTCACAATGTTCTTGAAGGAACCCAAATCAGATGTCAATAAAGCAGTGAGTTCGCCAACCTATCAAGAACAAAGGACAGATATAGTGACAAACAAATTCATCAATCTGTATTTCATAATGATAGATTGATAGTAGTCATTGTGTAAAACAGGAGTTTCATTCATACCTTGTATCTGTCAAAGAATTCCACCTACAGAAATGAGATGAAAGTATTAAACCTTGGCAAGTATAACAATCACAGTAAAGATATAAGCAAATGATATTACCTTGTGAATCAAAACGCTGCCAAATATTTGAGCTCTTAAGCTAGACATAACCTTCTCCCAAATCGTGTTCATATTCACAACAAATATAACTGTGAAAATTGGTTCCAATGTATATAGAACTCCAACCCTTGCTAAGAAGCTGCCATAAAGGCTCCGATCTTGCCCCTATTAGTACCTCAAAAAACCTCCCTACAAGTAGAGGCCAATTAATGATCATTCACAGTACCCAATGTTACTATTTCTAATCACACAAATCACTTATTTCGTTAATTAGACAAAACTAGCTTCAATCGAGCTGTAAGTTAAAGCTTCGTTGATTCTAAAAATTGAATTGTATTTCTGACACAGAGCGAATAATACAGTGCCAGTGGATTTGATTTATGATTGATGGACTAATATTAAGAAATTAAGTTGCAGTAGTTACTTGCCGGATAAAATCGGCATTGAAAGAGTGCAAGTGGTACAGCATACGAGGCTAACGATCGAAGCTGCAACTCTAAGCTTATGGCGGGACAGAAGCCTCAACAACAAGCCCAAACTTATGGCATTAAACCGTTGTACCGGTTCGGGACTGGAATCGGATTCCTCTACCTTCGGATCCTCGGCGGCGACGATTGCATCCGAGGCCGGACCTGTTATGTAACCTGCGGCGGTGATAAGGCTGGATTTATTGCGAGTGGGAGTTAAACGAAGTTGTTGCTGACGGGGTGGCGGCAACGAAGAGGTAGGTCGGCGTTGTCCACGGAGGAAAAGAAGTTGCCGGCGGTGGTTGTGAAGTGGGGGGTGGAGAGGGAGGAGGAGGGAGAGAGATGTCATTGTTGTGTGGTGCGTAGAAAGGAAGAACTCTATTGCTTCAATTCTTTTCCATTTACATGTGTTTTTGTAATATCACATTATCGCACCATGTTAATTTCCATAGGCATGAGTCATGACAATAACCATTTCTGATACGACAATAGTCATGCCATCTTTTCAATGTTGAGAGTTTGAGACGACTATAATTTATTATTTTGACCCAAAAAATGAAAAATAATGAAATAGGAGTTGTGAGTTGGGACTCAACAAAAAAAAAAGTTAGCAAAAAAACAATAAAAAATTATATTATGTTTCTTTTGGAGATTTCTGTCTAATATTTGTTATATTTTGGGTTTATAGAATATCAATATTCACTTGGATAATTTTTAGGATTATGATTGCAGTCACTTTCCATAATCTGTGATTTTGACTATGGGGTATCACGAAATTTGATTTGGGATAATCCAAAGTCATTTTGTTAATCCAAACACATTTTAAATAATATCTTTTGCAAAAAGTCCTTCTACAAAAAGAACTTTTGATGTTTAAAAGCAATCCCAAACACCCCCTAAGTGATCAAACCGGTTTTAGAACACTTATCATCTTTATATAGATGTAAGAAATCAGTTATAAGTTGGTTAATGGATGTTACATACATTTTGACGTCAAAAAGGGTTAGTCATAAGACATAACTACCTTATGACATCATCATGATGTCACACCTTATTTCAGCAGGAAATACATGGTTCGAGTCCTTCCTAATATAGAAATCTGTTTAGGTACCGCTAGGGGCTTTTCCCCTTGAAACCTTGTATCCAAGGTCGCTGCTCCCAGACCCTTGTATTCCTGATTTCACATTTATCACCCTGAGTGTGCACCTGCACCTCCATACTCGATGAGTAAATAGAGTTCATTATATCTCAATATTAATAGTAACTACACTAAAATATGTTGGTAACACTAAAATCACCAACAATATTTCTATCTAACTAGGTGTTTGTCTCTCGCATGTTGCGACGACAACAATATATTTTATGAATGATGAGTTGCATGTGTAAAACATATATGGTGTATTTAGCAACATGTAGCAAATATACAAAAAAATTACATAGAACAAGTTTATAAAAGAAGTTACATAGAACAAACATACAACAAAGACACTTACCTTACTTATTTACATGAGTCGTGTCCTCCGTTGCTTCGCTTACATCCAAATTTTTTGTAAAAACTAACTTCTTCTTTAACCTCACATATGGTTCCCATAAGTCGTCATTTCATTTCTTGTTTGTTTGTGTCTCATATGTATGGAGAAATAATTGTAGCTGTTTATTGTATGTACTATTCGTAATATCGACTATTTAGTAGACCGACATACCATACGTCAATATGCAGAAAAAAAAGGATAGGACCTAAAGTTACTTTTGTCTGCATTTTATTATTGTCTATTATCATCATTTCATCAAAATTTATATAACATTATCTAAATACTTAAATTTAATAAACTCATTATCTATGCTTTTAATCAAAAGTAATATGATAAACAATTTATATAAATGAATGACATTATCCATCATTTTCAAAATCTTTTGATTTTGATTTTATTATGATATAAAATTAAAGTAAATTGGTAAAGAAAATGTAATAATATTTAAAATATGAAAAGGGCAGTTGGGCAAGTAAAAAAAAGTTGGTCCATAGTGAAACACATCCAACCAAAAAGAAGAATATAGACCCACAAATTAACATCATCAATAAAGATTATTAATATTATTAAAAATCGTATATCAAAATGAATTCGAAGAGGGCTAGAACACTGGCAGCCCTGAAGATAGGACAAAGAAGTCGGAGGCGACCACAGGTGGGATAGCCTCTAATTTGTCTGAGAAACGGTACTTATTGAGTATGAAGAAGAAAACGAATTAAATTTTTTTTTGAAACGGCGAATAACATTAAAAAACCACACTTAATAAGGAGCTAGATGTGAAAAAGGTTACAAGGTTTTTAATTATAGGCTACATCAAGAAAAAAAAAAGAACAACTGTAACCTCCCAAAAATACCATATGAAATTTTTATTTTTAAAACTAGCATAAACATCATTCATTCATTCCAAATCCATCAAAATGTGATAATGTATAAAATAATCATCAGAGTACAAATCATGTCATAAAATGCGGAATACCAGTGGATGTGTTGCGATCATGTCGGACCCTTCCCTTTCGAATCAGAAGTACCTACAAACAATAAACATAAAATTGTAACCCACAAAGCTTAGTGAGTTTCTCAAAAAATACCCCATACGAAACATACATATCAACCATAAACTAAACTGAGACTCTTTCACCCCAAGTCTATTTCAACTCTTTCGGTATCTTTCAACAGGTACTGGGTCTATTTCATCCCCTAAGTCTATTTCAACTCCTTCGGTATCTTTCAACCGGTACTAGGTCTATTTCACCCCATGAGTTTATTTCAACTCCTTCGGTATCTTTCAACCGGTATTGGGTCTATTTCACCCTACAGCTAAGCATACAACAACACAACACGAGTCACAAAGACAACAACCACATACAAGTATATAAGCAGGTGTCATGAAGACAATTATCATTCTACAAACATAATCTAGCGGGTCGACATTGGTGCCTTCGACATACGAGTATAGTGAAGAAACTCACCTCAATTGGTCAATGAACGAATCTCACTCTCTCTCGGGCTGTTGGAGCTGAAGTCTCTCCTACTAAATATATCCAAACCAACCCCAATTAAAAATCAAGAAAATCTCCTGCTCAGCAAGTCCAAATACCAAAGTAAGCTCTTATTTGGACAAAAGACCATTTTGCCCTTCTAAGTCCTTGACCCTTCACAGTTGACAACACAGGGGACTTACGCTCTACGTACCCCCACTCTGCGTTGGGCGTTCTCTGCGTTGGGCATAGAGTTCACTCAAGAAGGATGGCCAACCCACATAAAAAGAGTTGTTGGATGTTAATTCTCACGTTACCATAAACCTAAATCCTACCCTAATTAATCTTCGTCGTTACCCTCACTCTCACTCTCACCCATCCTCCATCTCTTCCTAATTAGTCATCGTGCAACCACCCAACCTGCAAATACAACTCTCTAAATGGAAGACGAAGCAATCGGAGAAGGCATAACACCTCTGATATAGTTCATGCGCGTCTCCTTCTCATGGCCATGCTTTCGCTCTATTCTGGCTCGTTCGAGAAGGCAAAACACCGACTCGCAATTTTTGCATGTTGCAGGTGAATAAAATTGGCGCTGAAAAAGGGAAGAAACTGGGAAGGAGGCACTGAAAATTGGAACGTAGTGCAAGGGCATTTTTGGAAACGTCTCTCTCTTTCTCACTCAGACGATTTCCTTCATCTTTTCCGCTCAGATCTGGCTTACCGAGTCAAACATCGAAAATCTGTTTAACAAACAATTTTTGCTGACTGAGTCAACCAAAAACGTCTAACCCACAGCCTTAGATTTGATAAATCAATTTTTGGGTGTGTTCCCACAAAAAAAAGTGTTATAAAAACGCTAAGTTTTATACTCTTAAAATGTTTGGAATATGTTTTCATTAAATGGGAAACAATGATTTGGTTTCGACAATTTTGTAATAAATCAAATGGAAAACTATTGTTGAGAGCTTTATGCATAAATTATACATTTTGCGTTATTTAAATGTCCCTAGAAAGTTGTTTTAGATTAATCAAATAGATAAATGATGGTATTTCTTGCAACTTTTAAGTACTTATAGGTTTTTCACCGAAATTATTATTATTATTTGTAAAAAAGAGAATACAATGGGTTAAGAAAAGTTTTATAAATAAATTATCCTAAAATTTTTATATCTTAATGAAGCAAAAACAGGACAAGGCTATGAATTTCATTAAAAAGAAAAAAAAAAAGACAATTATTTGTTTAGACACTCTGATATTAAACAAAACTAAATAAAAAAGTTGTCGACTGAAAAGTTGGGATATGCAATTTTTTATGACAAATTAGAAGAGAAATCGACTTCTACACCAATCCTTTAGAGGCTTCCAATTCTGTCGATTTAAAGATGAAGTCAACTTCTACAACAATCGTTTTTCTAGCTTCGATTGCCAGAAGATTAAAAGAAGAGAAATCAAAAAATTAGAATAGGAATAAAGAAGGCATTGACTCCTTTATAATTACTACCATGGGCCTTAGCCCATCTCGCTCAAGCATTGGGCCGGGCCTAGATACCAAGTAATATCGATCAACTCTGGAGCAATGGGAGTTCACTATATATATATATATATATATATATATATATATATATATATATATATATTATATATATCTATATATATATATATATATATATATATATATATATATATGGAGGTGTAAAATCGATTTAATGAACATTGAACTTAGTTTTATTTATATATAACTGTATTAGTATTATTACTAATTAATAAATGTGTTTTTTAGAAAACATGTCAACTTGATATATATTAAGCTTAGATATGAAAATATACCCAGAAACCATTCGAACGAAGCTCGTACCAATTTTAACTCCTGCACGTGATTCATTAATGTGAATAACAATGAATTACAAATCGAAGAATTAAATTTCGCACTTAATCTAAGATCAAACAATTATAAGATTGTTCTAACTTTTAAGTTTTGGTAAAATATCATATTTGGATATGATCAAGTTAGAATTGGCAAAACGAATTGTGATTCCCTACAAAGCAGGATATTCCCTATTTTGTTCCTTTTCTTATTGAGAATATCTCCATTTTGCCCCCATTTCTTTTTAAACCTTTTGGTCCAAATTTTCAATCCTTTGTACGTGTTTACGTTGTTCCCTATAAGTGAATAATAGTATAAAATATATAAGTATATTATATAATAAAAAAAACATATACAAATTATTTTTCTTGTAAGTCACAAGTCACGCTTTGAAAAATATCACGACCTTAAATGATAATAGATTGCTTGATTATTCAAATGATAATTACATATGAATATAGAGAATACTTAAACCCTAATCCTACACACTATCATCCCCCACGGTTTGATCGGGAGGTCAAGATTAAACTAGAAAACGA